ACCGGTATGGTAGCAGCCACAGGGATGCTGGCTCCCTCGTTGGTGGCCTGCACCTGAGCGGAAGTAGCGTTGATTTGTTGGCTGGAAGACATTTCGAGTGGTGTTTTGGTGGGTAGGTTTGTGTTTAGGAGAAGAAACCTTAACGGTCCCACGGTCGGCGCCAAAAATGATGGTGTAAATTACTTGACCGGTCAAACTATACTAGACCGGGTCTAGAATAGTTCGCTTGATTTGGCAAAGTAAGAAAGGTAAAAACACGCAAATTGACCGGTAGAATTTTAGGTGGAACACCTGTAACCCAATTTATATTATAACGGAGAATGCACGGGTGCTTTTACAAGGGAGTTTAGAGAGAATGAATTCGGATCCCCCCATTCGAGGGTTACAAGAGGTATATATACTAGGCTGGGGAGCAGGACCACGTGCGCCCACGTGGGGGTATGCTGCTGGCGTGGTGTGAAGTGACTGGCTCTGAGCTGCCTTGTCATCTTGCGCGGGGGGTGGCACCCTTGTCGCGTTCTGGTTTGGAAATATTCCCTCAGTATCCCTGCAATTCCAAACACTACAGTCCAAGTCCTTTTGGATTCCTCTTGCCGACACTTCCCCAATCTCTAGGAACTACACCGGTTGGTTCTTGTAGGTTGGCGTGGCCATCTTTGTAGGGTGAATTAGTCGCCGGTATAGTGTGACCGGTATACTATCCTAAGCATACCGGTCAACCTTTTGGCTAACCAGTCATCCCTTCGCCGACGATCTAGACCTCTCTTGCAAGTTTGACTTCTTTGACCGGTCAACTATCCGGTCTTGACCGTTGACCGGTCATGGGTGAAATACACCCATCACGTACTAAGAGCATTCCCAATGGCAATGCAATGTCTTGTCTTGCCATGTCAGCAAATTCCACTCAATTCATGGCATTCTATGACCATTCCACCCCACTTTTCATTCCATGTGCAAGGCATGCCTTTCTCATTTTTTTATTTTTTTTACTCCGTAATATTTTTAATATTTTAAATTTTTGAAAAAAATATTTTTTAAAAGAAGTAAACATATTTTAATAATAAAATAAATTTTTAAAATAATTTTTTATAATTAAAAATAATTAAAAAGTGCAAAAATAGACAAAAAGGACGACTTGCCACTGTATGTTACGACACTCTACTCATTTGCCACACAGTGACTGAGTTAGTTTTTATTGATTGAAATAATCCATGTCATGTGTGTGACATTTTATTTCTGCCTGCCATTGTCAATGACCAATCTCACCATCTCTAGCTTCGATTTGAAATTTCCAACATTTAGTGCATTCTCCAACTCACAGTAAGAATATCAGCATTTGCATCACATATATGCTAACCAGAGTTTCAAAGTGCAGCAGCGTGATCTTGTGTGCCAAAAAGAGACTCATTTGTATGCTAAAAATCCAAGCGCCAACCTGTCTCCTTGCCAATTTCTCGAGTAAAAATGGTGAATCCACCACAAACAGCTCTATCCAACTCAGGTGCTTGTCCCAGCTTCAAAATCTTGAGTTTTACTTGATTGATATCTACCCTGGAAGCAATGAACCAGCCTACTGAAAAAATGAGCCCTAAGAACTTCTCATATCATCAATCATATAAAGCCCTTTTTACCTGATTCTATAGCTTCTCAACTCCTTTTGTTCAATGGCTAAGCAGCGGCAGCTTGTAGTTCAACTATTTCATAGTTAGATACTACCTCCGTCCCTGAGTATTTGTAGTTGGACTCACCGTTTTTCACCCAAAACTGCAATTGCGCCCCGACCCAATTTTTGTGCTCCCCAGGTTAGTTCCTTATTCGCTGCAATGTCTTCTTCGAATTTGGATTCCTCAATCCCGTCTTCTAGTCCCGCTCTGGCAGACCAATCTATTAACCCTGGTCAAACTTAGAACCCATCCGGATCGCCACAACCGTCATCGGTTGCTCCATCCAGTAGTGGGAAGCGGCGATTAAGGAAACAGTTTCCCTCTCCAGAGCCCAAGCTATTAGGCCCTAGGGTTGTTGGGGGTTCTTCATCGTGCATCTCGCTTCCCTGAAGAGGGGTCTGAGATTTCCGCTGCACCCTCTGGTCATGGACTTCTTGAACACGATTGACCTCCTCCCCTGCGAGTTAGTTCCCAGCTCCGATAGATAAATAGCCGGTTACTTGATTAAGTGCCAGGAAGCGTGGGTGACTCCCACTTTTGAGTTTTGACCGCTTCTTGTACACCTTCAAATTGACCAAGGGGCATAATGATAATTTTAGATTTTTGGGTATTTCTCTCCCAGTGTTTTGTCTTTCAAGTAGTGAACGAAAGTCCAGCTGCCAATGTATAAGGTCATGCATGTTATTGCATAATGTTAAACAAAGTGATAAATGAAAATGTATAATACTACATCTGGCAATGTATAGTGACAATGCCAATCTATAATGTTATATATGACACATGTTCATGCATAATGTCAAAAAAAGTTAAAGGTCAAAAAAATTATAGTGACAACACCATAATTATTCACTTTCAATACCAATTTTACAATATAGTCTCTAATTCCCTAAGTAAACTCAGATATAAAATCGAATGTCCCCGCTTATGCAATATTGAATATAAAATTAAGGAAAATGCAAGGGGTACACTTTTCCAAAAGTGTACCCCAAACATCTCCCACCCCCTCTATCACCACACAAAAAAGGCAAGAAAATTTCAAAAAAGTAAAAAGTAAAAAGAAAATGAAATGAATGGTGTAGAGGCAAGTGGTGTACATTTGGGTACACTTTTGGTGTACCTCTAGCATATCCCTAAAATTAAATTCAAACTTACACAAGCCTGAAAGAATTAGTACCAATTTAACAAAATAAATCTTGAAAAAATAAATGTTAGATTTAAAATTGAATGTTACCATTTATGTCAAGTTGAATTTAAACTTACACAAGGCAATCAACGGGAGCATCGTTGCTCTAAGGCGGCGGAAATAGTTGAGATGGCTGGAAAGAGATTGTCTATATGAAAGAAATGAAGATGTGGCAGAGTGCGGTGGAATGATCATTGCATGAAGGAGGCAGTGGCAGCGAAATTGAGAATGGGATTGACGGCGGGCCGACGGCAACAACTGGGATGGAACAAAGACAGTGATCGGCGACATACTTGAGATTGAAGAATTAGATCGGAAAGGGGGTCACGCAACAGTTTCAATAGAAAGGGCGGTGGATTGTGTGGCTTGGTGTAAACAAAAAAAACTTAATTAATAATTCATATTTACAGATGTTTATGTTTAAATTTTTATTTTAAAGATAAGATTTATATATTTTTACATTTGGGGTACACATTTAATTTGAGATTTGAGAGGGAATGAGTACATTTATAAAGGAGTTGGGATGTGAGTAGAAATCTTTGTGCCAAGCTATGATTGTCCGCAACAGTGCATTCGACACCACAAGGAAAGCCGGTGCTTTCCCGATCAGTGAAAAAGTAAAGGGATGCATTCCTGATTTTTCAATTGACTTACTTTTAAATTCAAATTAATTTTTCATATTTTCTCTTTCATCTTAAAAAACATAGAATGATAATAAAAATTAAAATTTAAACAAAAAAATCTACAAAACTTGTACTCCTCGACCATCGCGCAATATTTAATACTCCTTCTGTCCCCAATTTTATTATAAATTAAGATTTATGAGGAAAAATATCTCATTTTTTGAAATCATTTTATTTATAAATTTATATATCAATAAAAAATAAAAATTACATATTAAAAAACTACGTCAAAAGTTCTACAAAACAAGTGGTGACAGGAATATTTTATTTAGAAATCATCCTAAATAGGACTAAAACATAGAGAAAAGTACTACCTCCGTCCCAGAGTATTTGTCCACTTTCATTTTTACACACCATCCAATATACTTCTTTAATCCATTTTATCTTGCAATTTGTATATTAAAAAATTATAGAAATTATATTTTAATAATCTATATGTTAAGACAAATCAAACAAGATCACACATGACTATATTTAGGCTTACACATTGAGAAAATTTGATGAGTCAAAGTGCTTAGATGAACAGTTCCAAAAGTAAAAACTGGACGAATACTCCGGGACGGAGGGAGTACCAAAATAGGAGTTTCATGTTTTTCCCCCAAAAATAGGACTTTGCACTGTGGTAATGTGGCAGTGTACATGTTCACATTACTATACTTTTTTGGTAATGTATATGACAATGTTTGGTAATGTAAGTCTTATTTCAGGCATAAAACATGGAAATTCTATTTTGGTATATTTTCAATGTTTTAGTCCTACTTTGGTCTTTCTCCCTATTTTATTTTATTAAATACTTAATGAAATCGCGATAACAAACAAAAGTTATCGAAAAGTGAGAGAAAAAATTGTAATCAAAGTGGGGATGGAGGAAGTACTCTTTAAACAAAATTAATTATTTCATCATTTTAAGTTTATTTTAATTACAAATAGATATAGAAATAAAAGGTACAAACTAAAAAATTTTAAAATTTTATAAAACAAGATTTGACAATAATATTTTATTTTAACGAATGAGTAATGAAAGAATATAAACAAATAAAATTATTGAGAAAATCTTAATAATAATACTAACAAATATTGTTGGACAACGGGTGTATATAAATGAAAAATGCTAATCCTAAAAAATGAAAATGAAAAGCCAAAAAGGGGAGCCTTTTAAGAATTTTGAGGACAAAATTCCTTTAAGGGGAGAAAAATGTAACACCTCAAAACATACCTTAAAATTAGGGTAAATTCTAAACCCAAAAGATACCCCAATACATACCCTAAGAATTAAACTTCTTTCATCCTCTCGTACTCATTCACAAACCCGTTGATGAGTTTGAAGCTCTAAACCCAAAACCAAAACAATCACTCATTTCTCAATTCTTCATATTCCTGATCTGATTAGATCTGATCTAGTCTGATCTGATTCGATCTGATCTGATCTGATCTGATTCGATCTGATCTGATTCGATATGATCTGATCTGATATGGTCTGATCTGATTTTAATAAGAATAAGAAAAAATAAGAAAAAATAAGTTGAACGGAACGGGGCTTAGTCTTAGGAAATTACGAATCTTAAAATATATCCATGAAGGTTACTGGTTTCAATTTTGGATTCCACCAGGAAGATGAATAATTGAGAGATGAGGGATGATTTTGATTTTGGGTTCAAAGCTTCAAACTCAGCGACGGGTTTGGGAAAGCAACGCAAGAAGAGAGAGAAAGTTTAATTAAGGAGAGAGATGATTATGAATTTACAATTTTATACACATTTTTAATAGAAATGTTAACAAATTACCATTTATGGGAACAAATTATTGACAATACCACTGCACTCCCCACACTCTCTAGAACAGAATAATATCAAACTTATTAGAAACCATCCTAAATAGGACAAGAACATAGAGAAAAATATCAAAATAGGACTTTCATGTTTTTTCCCCAAAATAAGACCTTGCATTTTGGTAATGTAGCACTGTACATATGCGCATTACTATACCTTTTTTGATAATTTACATGACCATGTTTGGTAATTTAAGTCCTATTTCGGGAATAAGAACATGGAAGTCCTATTTTAGTACTCCCTCCGTCCAAAATTAAACTTTACATTACGCGTTACGATGTTTGACTGAAGTTATTTTCAAATCATTTTATATGAAAAATGGTGTAGAATTAAAAAATAAAAATTACATATTAAAAAACTATATCAAAAGATCTACAAAACTAGAGGTGACATGACTATATTATTTTATCAAATGGGTGATGAAAATAGGCCAACAAAGTGAATAAAGTTTGACCCTGTGAATAGTGAACGTAAAGTTTATTTGTGGACGGAGGGAGTATATTTTCAATGTTTTAGTCCTACTTTAGTCTTTCTCCCTAAACTTATTAAGTTTTGGTGAAGAATGAAGAGAGTGAGGGTGGTTTATATAGGAGAAGAAGTAGAGAAGATGCCAGTTAATGATGTACGTAGTTCCTCTTTTGGCGTCTCAGTGGGAAGAGCTGCGATATTCACGATTCCAAACACAAGTTCCTGATTGGGACTAATTTTGGTCTTACTTGGGGTACACTTTTTGGTCAAACTTTCTCTGAATTGAATTCTATTTGCACCGTTGCGATTAGACAGTCGAATTCAATTGAACGATATAATTCTTGTATTTATTTGTAATACTTTTTTGACATCATATTTTTTTTGGATGTTTGATTTTGATAGAGTAAAAATTGATTTAATTGAACTTTATTCAGAATGGTTCTTACATTCCATTCATATTATTTATTCTCGTGAATTATTTTAATAAATCATTTCAAGTTTATATCATAAACAAATTCTTCATTTATTCTTAATTTAGGTATGTTCTCAGATTCGCAATCAAGGTCACAGAATAGATAAACGTATTGGATTTATCTCTATGAGATTTATCCAAATGATGATATTGGATACCAATACAAAGCCTAACAACAACTTATTTTCATCAAAACAAATTTGTTTAATTGAATAATTATTCATTAATAATTTTAGGGTATGTTTTGGGGCATTACAAATATTTAGTGTATGTCGTTTTTAAATATTCAGTTTATGTTGTTTTTAAATGTTCAGTGTATATTGTTTTTAAATATTCAATGTATGTTGTTTTGAAATATTTTGTGTATCTTTTTTAAATATAAAGTATATGTTGTTTTTGTGAAATATTTAGTACATGTTATTTTAAATATTTTGTGTATGTTAAATTTAAAATTTTTCTCATATTATAAATAAATAACTAACCCATCAAATAAGTATTCATTTTTATTGAATCATTTAAAAAATTGGTTAATGGATGGTATGAAACGGAAGTTGACTTGTTAATTGAACTAATGTGTGTTCAACGAACACATATTATTAATTTAAAAAAAGTTGGGTAGTGGATGAGATAGAGTAAATAGTGATTAGTTGTCAGTGATCTTAATAATTCAACTAATATGTGTTCGCTGAACACATATTACATTAATAGAAATTTCACATTAAAAATCTTAATTGCTCCAAGGAAAGCGCGAGATCTCTGTAGTGCTGTCCTTATCATTGGCTACACACACAATTTACCACACATATCTCTCTCTCTCTCATTTTCCTCCGTTGGCCTTTCTCCCGTAACTTTTGCATGATAAACAAAAAGAAAAGAAAAATAAAGCGCACGCAGTAGTAGTGCGAGCGAGTGCTAGCTAGTGCTTGCTCTGTCGTCTAGCAGTTTCGTCTTTTCCTGTCACAGCTTTTTTGGGTAACTCTTATTCTCCCTCTTTCTGTGGTTTATACTGCGCACATCATTTTCTTTTCCTGCGTTCACTGCTTTTACTGTTTATAAGATTCATACACACACTCCGCTGGAGAATTAAAAACTTACAAAAATAAATAAAAACAGCCGTCAATACCATGTGCGACATGAGTTTTGTGTTCCCCGGAAAAATTGTTGATTCCTGAAATTATTTGGGCGGCGTTTTCGTTATTAAATCTGTGTTTTTTTTAAAAAAAAAAAAATATTTCTTGGGAGAATTGTTTGGAGAATTGTCACTTGGATTGGAGTTGTCATGGATCCAACCCGATTTCAGCAGCAGCAGATGGCTCCCGGCTTGAGCCGCTATGGGTCCGCTCCGAGTTCCTACTTTTCAACCCTCTTCAATACTGCGACTGCAAGTGATGATTTTGATCGGCAAGCTTTTGGAAAGTTCATAGCCAGTCTAGATTCCCAAGACTTGAATTCCGACAAGTTTTCGGAGAATCAGCCAATCCAGACGAGCAATTCGAACACGAAACAAGAACCCGATGCATATGAGCAGCCGCAGATGGAATTGCACAAGGGAAAATTCTCAGGACAAGCTCGGGAGAGTCGTACTTCTGGGGCTACCACTTCTGCTGCTGCCATGGATGATGATTCTTATGGGTTGATGAATTCGTCGAATCTGGATGGTTTTAGCCATGTGAAGATAAATACCGGCCTATCGAATTCGAATCTCACACGTTTTAATACTTCTCCTGCTGGGTTCTTTGCTCAAATGGATATTCAAAATGGTATGGTTGCTCGTATCCTGTTTGTTTTTGTGCATTCCTGTTCCATATGTTGATTTTGTTTGTTAGCTGAGATGAACGGATCAAAACGAAGCTTTTGAATGAAAGGGGAGGGTTTCTGTAAAGAAAAATTAAAGATAAATAGGGCCTACTATGGCTAGTTCTCATTTCTTTATAATGTCAACTGGTGTTTTAGATGGAACTTTTCCTTTGAAACAGCAAAAAGTTCACGATTGAGTTTTTATTCGACTCTACATAAAGTTTTGCCATAGAAACTATGGGTTTTTACTGATATTGGCATAAAGAAAGAAACATTGGGTTTATTGAAACATGGTTGAATTAGCCAATCATGTAGGGGGGCTATCAAATAATTAGCTTGAGAAGACACATAATGGCACCTGTTCTAGTGCTTCTTTTATGTAACAGATCGATGTTGATCCTAGAACTTGAAATGATCTTCGGAATAATAAAATCATTAAATGGGACAAAAATCGCTGATTTGTCAAAAATCTCCTTGCACATATATATGTTCAGATGAACTCGTAGACAGAAAATGGTGAGTGAATTACACATTGAAAACACAACTTGAACTTATAGCTGAACATGTTTTTGATGAATGCACAGAATATGGTGGGACAAGAAGCATGGGGAGTTACGATGCTAGAGCCAATCCTACTGCAGAAACAGCTCCAATGGCCTCTATATCCGAAACTGGAGACGGCAGAGTGGTGAAGGAAGAAACCTGTCCAGGAAATGATCATGAAAATTACGACTCAACTTTCTCCATGCCATCTTGGGATGACTCAGATATTTTGTCTGATTATTTCTTAACTTCATCAGAAGAAAACCCACTTTCAAATTCAAATGCATCAGATATTCAGGTCAGATTTATGTAAAAACCAAAATCTTTATGCATGTCTTACATATATCTGTGCTTAATTATATTTATTTATACCCGAAGAGTGAGGAGAAAAGTCGCCCTTCTGGCCTGCTGTCTCATCACTTGAGTTTGCCCAAAAGTTCTGCACAACTATCTGCCGTGACGCAGGACTCTGTTCCATGTAAAGTCAGAGCAAAGAGGGGCTGTGCAACTCATCCACGTAGTATAGCCGAGAGGGTAAATATTTATGCTTTCATATTATCAGTTGCATTTCATCATGGCATTATTATACTCCGAATAATTATTCCATGAATAACCGTTGTGAACTACAGTACATTAGATCATAATTCCACAGATGCAAATGTGTTTCCCAAAAAAAATAGGAAGCATGCTGGTTAAGAAGAAGAAAAAAAGAGTGTATTTGTTTAAATAAATCTAATTGCAGGTAAGAAGAACACGTATAAGCGAGAGAATGCGAAAGCTGCAAGAGCTCGTTCCAAACATGGACAAGGTAGGTTTTTTTTTGGGGTTTAAATTAAGCTTTGCTGCTCCATATTCATATTTTAGCAAAAGCTTTTCATTTTCCTACCCTTTTTACCCATTGATAGCAAACAAACACCGCGGATATGTTGGACTTTGCAGTTGACTACATCAAAGATTTAGAGTCGAAAGTCAAGGTACATATATACATGATGTTTCAGCTAGCCGCACATTGTTAATATTATCTTGAAATGCTTCAGATTTACATTCATTTTATACGTACTTTACACTTCGATTGATGTTATAATCCAATGTTGTAGGTGTTATCGGAACACCGAGCGAAATGTAAATGTTCAAGTAAATAGAAAGCCACATGAATAGAGAGGACCAGGTAGGGCTTGCAATTAATGCACTGGGTAATGATATATTTTCATATACCATTGATCTGTAATTCGGTAGATGCCACTTTTCCATGAAAAGGAAACACATACAAAACTAGGTCGATTTGATGTATGTTATTGTCCTAGAATTGAAGTAGAAGTTAAACAAATATAATAATTTCCAGAGCTGTCTATTTATGTAAAGCTAATGCCATTATTTGCATCAATATTTTTTGTAGGAATGGAAAGAGAGGCTTGCCATAAGGTCCCAAGCATATTTTTCTAGTACATGCGTTTGTATGTAAAAAGTTTGTTCAAACAAGTGCTGATAAATTGGATAATGAAATAATACGAGTCTATTATTATTACTATTACTATTATTATTATTATTATTATTATTATTATTATTATTATTATTATTATTATTATTATTATTATTATTATTATTATTATTATTAGACCTGGCAAAACTGACCCAAACCCGATGACCCGAACCGAATAACCCGGAACCGAACCCGATTTGACCTGAAAACTGAAGACCCGAAATAGAACTAAACACCCGAAATGACCCGAACCGAAACGAAACCGAACCGAATGTATTCAGACCCGATTCAGATCCGAATCCGATTAAACCCGAACTGATTAAACCCGAATTGATAAAACCCGAACCTGGTTAAACCCGGAACCGATTAGACCCGAAATTGATAAAATTTATTAATATTTTATTTATCAAATGAACTTGGAGAAAAAGAATTACCTATATACTTTTACATATGTTGATGTGTTTCTAAAAAAACATATTTAAATTATGGGTGCAAACCGTATAACTACTTTCATGTACAAATCTTTTACTTCGTATTTTATAACTTAAGTTAAAGTATTTTTGTATTTTATCGCCTTCAAACTTAAAGTTTGACCAACATCGTTTCTTCAAAAATATTAGCAAGAATATTAAAAATAATATATTTCAAGTGTTTTTAATACCCACAATTTGGTAATAACTTTTACTTTGTATATTTTAATTTATTATATATTTTTATATATAATTATTCAAATATTTGACACACAGAGTGAAATGGATAGTTAATTAGAAATAAAGGAAGTACGAAGTAGAATGTTAACTAAAAAGATCGCGACGAAAACTTTAGGAGGGAAAACTTTAGAATGTAAACAATTAGTTAATTATATGTAAGTGTTATTTTTTATGTACGTCCGTGTTAAATAATAAAATAACTACGGAGTATATCATAAATTGATTAAATTTATTGTGTGATATTATTGATTTATTAGTAAATATTTAAAATATATCTAAACTAATATAAACCCGAATCGATACAAACTCGAACTGATACAAACCCGAACCGATACAAACCCGAACTGATATAAACCTGATCCGATACAAACCCGAACCGATACAAACCCGAACCGAAATCAAAAACCAGTCAAACCGAAATAAACCCGGAACCAAACTGACCCGAACCGAACCGACCCGAACCGATTATAACATATATCCGAATGAGACCCGAACCGAAAAGACCCGAATCGGAACCAAACCGATTGACCCGATTGCCAGGTCTTATTATTATTATTATTATTATTATTATTATTATTATTATTATTATTTACCAATCCATTCTGTTTTTCGTTTGTGAACCATTTTTCGGTGTACACATTTACGTGAGTGTAATTCTTGACTTGGGGAATGTGTCAAGTGCTCACCATTGGTTGGAATCCTCAAGGGGTAGCTAGCAATATTCAGATCAATACTGTGATTCTATGAACTTGTGTGTGCACTCGCGTCTATAGACTCTTGAATGCTTGAATATGATGAATAAGGAGTTGTTTTCCGAATGGTCTCTTGTTTAAGGGAAGCAACCCTTCGGGCAATGAAGACTTATACTCCCTCCGTCCCGTGAAACACGGGACATATTGACCAAAACTGAAGTTTAAGAGAGGGTATTTTTACCACTGACTTTCCAAATATACCCCCAAACCCTTAAATAAAGAAGAATAAGGAGAAAGTGTGAATAGTATTTGCATTTAATGAAAAGTAATGGAAAACTGGTAAAGTACAAACGCACAGTGTGATTGTTCGGCACCTACAGGCAGTGTCATCACTGCAATTCAGCAAGTTTAACAATTTACAGGCCAAAATACAAACATGGAAGGAAATTTTTTTGCCAAATTTTTTTTGGTAAATTTTAAACTTCCCACCAATTACAAAATCATGTTCCTAATTGAAAATCTATAAATAGAAACTTAATTGAGCATTGAATACACATTTAAAGCATGTCCCTTTTCACCTTCTTTCTCCTAACTTCCTCCTCAGACAGTCCATAAAGCTTCCTTTTGTCCTTCGTTGTGCTGTCCGTAGAGATGTCCTCCCCGCCATCGTCACCATCTTTATCAACAACGTCATCTTTATCCTCCTTTTCTTCAGTTTCAGCCAGTACGGATCTGCCACCTTTGGTCAAGGTTCCACTCTTCAATCTGGACAGCCCTGCATTAGAAGACGAGGGGAGTAGTTCGCGAAAAAATGGTTGTGAAGAATGTAATGGTAAACGCAAACGAGTAATTGAAAAGTTACTCCAATTTTGTAAAAATGGCAAACTTCAGCGGGGCTGCATAAAAGACGTTGCTGCAGAATTCAATATCTCACGCAAAACAGTTGGAAGTATATGGAGTATAGCTAAGACTCGAATGCAGGCAGGTCTACCCGTGAATGTTCTGTGCAAGTGGAAAGGGAATTCTGGGCCAACAATGGGTACTGTTGACATTCAAAAAATGTTAGCCATACCCTTTCACAGGAGGAAGAACATCCGTGCCTTAGCATATGCAATGGATGTTTTAAAATCAACAGTCCAAAGGTGGCTAAAGTGCAAGAAAATAAGAAGACATTCAAATGCCATCAAGCCTTTTCTCTGTGAAAAAGGTAAGCTCAAAAGACTTAAATATTGCTTGGAACATATTGCTGCCCATCAATTCCCATGAACCCCACATTTCATCATTTCTATGACTACATTCATATTGATGAAAAATGGTTTAACATCACAAAGGAAAAGACAACATTTTATGCACTGCCAGATGAACCAGACCCATACAGAACTGCTCAATCAAAGACTCACATACCAAAAATCATGTTCCTCACAGTTGTTAGTAGGCCTAGGTTTGGGAATGATGGGGCTGTGGTTTGGGATGGGAAAATAGGTATATTCCCATTCACATATGAAGCTCAGGCCAAAAGATCTAGCAAAAACAGGCCAGCAGGTACATTAGAGGTCAAGGCAACCACCACTATTAACAGAGATGAAATGAAAAAGATGTTACTGGAGAAGTTACTTCCAGCCATCAAAGAAAAATGGTCTGGTCCAACAAGAGATGTAATAATACAACAAGATAATGCTAAACCACATGTGGATGTGAATGACACTGAGTTTGTACAAGCTGCACAGGAGGGAAACTGGAACATTAAGCTTCAATTCCAACCTCCTAATAGCCCAGACCTGAATGTTTTGGACTTGGGATATTTTAGGTCAATTGATACAATTCCAGACCAGGCAGCACCTAGGAAGTTAGAAGAACTCATCAATGCTGTTACCAAATCATTTGAGGACCTCACCCCAGAGAAGTTAAACAATGTTTTCTTAACATGTCAAAGTGTAATGGGGGAGGTACTTAAATAGAAAGGAGACAATAACTTCAAAATCCCACACATAGGGAAAAACAGTTTGGCCAGACTTGGAAGGCTACCAGATAATATTGGGGTTACTGCAGAGGTGTACCAGGAAGCAAAAACATTCCTTGAAGAACACCTGTAGAAACATAATGGGTACTTGAAGAGTTTGGCCAGACTTGGAAGACCTGGAAGGGTTGGTTTTTTGTATGTACAAACATCATGGGTAAAAGCACAATACTTTAATGTACTCCCATTGAATGACTTTTTTGCACAACTTTTTTGTATGGCATGCAATCAGTGTAGTATGAAGATCTGGCATACAGATTGGGCATTGAAAATCTGCCAACTGATGTTTTTTTGTAGATTTCTTGACAAACTTTATGGGACTAAATGAAGGTGTGTATTCTGTTTTCACTTAAAGAAGAAGTGTGGTATCTGTTCTCTTATTAAAGGCAGTGTAGCATCTGTTTTCTTATCAAAAGGTGTCTATTCTGTTTTCACTTAAAGAAAAAGTGTAGTATCTGTTCTCTGATTAAAGGTAGTGTAGCATTTGTTTTCTTTGGATAAGGTAGTGTAGCATCTGGTTTCTAAAAAAAGGTATAAAATCTGTTTTTTTATACAGATTTTTGGCAAAATTGAACAGATGTGGATTGTTGTAAAGAAATGAACACAGGTAGACCAATCCTGGGCAAATTGATTTTTGTAAGTCTCCAACACAAGACGTGGGTGACATTACAACACTAGCAACTCACATATCAACAAATGTTTTTCATGTAAAGCAGAGATTTGCATCATTAGTTTTCCAAAAAGCCATTACAGGTAAACCATAGTAAAAGAGAGTATAGAGTGTGTACTCTGTTCAGAGATCATCGATTCCCCGTCTTCCTCAGAGGTCACTGATTCCCCGTCTGCCTCTCCATCCCCTTCTTCTTCATAACTCCGTTCAGGATCAGAATAGTAACCACCCCCTAGATATTTTTGCGGAAGCTCCATGTTGGGTCTGTTTCAGAGGAATCAGTGTCTCCTCCATCAAATCCCCAACGATTTAACGCAGCCCTCTTATTCTCAGCCTTCGATGGAGGAGGGTCTCCATATCTAGGAACTGCATCGTCATCACTATCACTTAATAGTTGAAAACTGGGAATCGAAGGATCGCGAGAAAACATCAGATCGGGGCAAAGAAGATTAGATCTGAAGTTGCGGAGCTTTAGATCTATTATTCGAGGATGAATTTAGATCTAGAGAGAAGAATAGATTTAGATCTACAGAAAAGGGAGAGGATGAATATAGATCTGGAGAGAGACGAAGAAGGGGTGGGAATCAGTGCAAATGCTGGGTTGGAGTGTTAGGCGAAATCAATAGGGTTTGGGTGGAGGGGTAAAAGAGTCATTTTAAAAGAAATGGGAAATGTTTTAAGGGACGGATAAAAAAAGAAAGGGGAAATGTTTCACGGGACGGAGGGAGTATAAATTAACGTTTTTTCGTTTAATTGGTCGAGGATCCAGTTGAAAATTCATCACCAAGTTGTTATTGATCAATGGGTTCCCTTGATCAATAACTTAATTTTTATCCAATTGATTTTTGATTGAACATTCAAATAATTAATTTGAAAGTAATACCATGACTCTTAGATAAATCTGTGTGTTATCTTAATTTCTTAACGCAACCGTACACCAAGCTTAGTCACAACACCAGTTACCCAAGTTTCATATACTCTGCATGATTTTGTTTGGAGTTCATAGGTTAAGATGTACTCCCTTGAATTTAAATTGCATGTTTGGTTTTATGATGTTTGACAAAAAATTAAAAAATTACTCCCTCCGTCCCACAAAAAAGTTCCCATTTTGACCATAAATTGGTCAAACTGTTGCACACTTTGACCCTAAATTAAATATAATCTAAATAAAGAAATGCTAAAAAAAATTGAGATATCAAAACTAGATCCTAAGATGAATCCAATTATATAAAATTTATTTCATAATTCAATATATCTTTCTCACAATTTGTAGTCAAAGCGTGTAAGTATTTGACTAAATACTATTCAAAATGGAAACTTTTTTGTGGGACAGAGGGAGTACAATAAATCATACAGAGTATATGAAAAACTACACATAAAACTACAAAAAATAAAAATTACATATTTATAAACTATATCAAAAGATTTACAAAAATAATAGTGACATGACTATATTATTTTATCAAATAACTAAAGAAAATAAGAAAGAAATGTGAATAAAGTTTCATCATATAAATACTAAACAGATAATTTAAATTAAGACGGACTAAGTATGATATTGTGGAGGAAAGAAAAACAAAAAGCAAAAAAAAAGTGACTCTTTTGATTAGACTCTTGATCGCACTACTGTCCAAGATTTGCATCATGGAATATGCAGGGCTTAAATGGTAAATAAATTTTGATTGAGCAAATTATTTTGATGGGGTTATATATCTTCCTGTTTTGAAGGCCTCAAATGGATACAAACTCTTGATTCAATAGGCTTGGACGCTTGGTCCTGCGTCCACCTATGTAATATTGTAATATTTTAAAGGATAAAGTTATTTATACCTCAAAAGTTTGTACCTCATTTTTTACAATGCAGGGATGTACTAATATTTTGTGTTGAGGTTATACTAATTTTTGTTAACGCACCAACACTTTGTGTCAATGTAAATTTTTGTTAGTGCACCAACACTTTGTTTCAGTGTAAACCATCAAAATGTTGGTGCACACCTTGTACAAATGGAGAGAAAAACTAAAATAACATTCTTAGAGCCTTAAAATACTCTAAATAGCAGGTGCTATATGTTTCGTACTTGTGATTCTAATTTTGTCCTTTAATTAAACTGCAAATATTTATTACACACTGTCAAAAAATATAAATGTTTTGGGCAATGTGGTTGTTCACCTTTGTACGGATGGCAATTGTGGATTTCTACGACTTTCCTTTTGATATTATTATTTTAAATGTTTTGGGCTTGAACCCACTTTTGTTGCACTTACTTTATGGCCTGGATGTTTGATTTTCTCTTTGCTTCTGCAACTTAAACGATTTATCTACTCCGTGCCGTTTTAAGGAAATAATTCCTAAGGATTTTATTTATATTAATATGACAATGATGTTATTTTAAAGTGTTTTCATCAAAGTCTTTATTTGGATGGTCCTTAATACCATCTATGTAACCCCTTTGGCCCATCGGATCACGGTGAACTGGGTTCACGAGTCGCAGGGTGTTATAATAAGACTCTTAAACTATGATTAGTTCAAGGTAGGACATAAGAATCATGACTTATACAATGGGTCTTAAAGGTTAGTTCGAAATCGAGCAACAATATGCTCAACATTGGGTTGGGTGGTACCTCCAAATGAGTGATCCTCAAATTTGGTTTGTAGATCTCATGCGTACATTTTAATCCGAGACACCGAATATCATATCTGCAATGCCTAACTAAATTAGTTACATAGGAGTATATCTGAGAAGTTTTCTAGATAACCTTAATTTTTTATAATCACAATTCAATCGGGATATTCATTATATTAATATTTAATCAAAGCTCAATCATTATAGCTGGAAAAAGAATGCTAGGGTTTGTCTCTATCCATGGTCAGGAGAGGTCGACCCTGCCGAACACCCAATCATGATCGGAAAACCCAAGCGACGAATCAGTCGGAACAGGAATGTAGCAAGAAGAAGCAAGATTTGGAAAATTTGGAGGACTGCGAAGGAGAAGCCAAAGAAATGGAGAATGGTATTATTACGACAATTCATGAGCAAGCCACTGCAATTAATGAAGGAAAATTATATGAGGAAGCAATTGGTGATCTGGACTTAGAATAGAGATCGCTCAAGTTTGTCGAGGCAGAAGAGATAGATGGCAGCAAAGTTTCCAAACTATCAAAGGAGGATGTGACTAACACAACGAGATATTGGGATTCAGCAGTCATTTGCTGCGTTTTGGGTCTTGTGGAAATCATATCTGGATTTTTCAAAAGAATTTGCAAGAAAATCCTTATTGATACAGCTATGCTTGTTAAAGATGGAAAATTTGTGGTCTGATTTGACAAGGAGGATGATTGCAACGAAGTAATGAAGAGAAGCTTTTATTACTTTGACAACAAACCAGTTCTTGTGGAGAAATATTGACCTGGGAAGAAGATCAAAGTTGAGAACATCAAGGATATTCCTAAATGGGTCAACTTCCCGGATCTTGATATCAAATATTGGAGTAATTCAGGGTTGAGCGAAATTGGGAGTCTTATTGGTAGGCGAATAAGGGTACAACCTATAAATCACGAATTGGATTTTCCGGGGTCTTTATTGAGGTGTTGAGGTGGATGTTAAGAAGGAATTCCCAAAAGCACTACTGATGGCAGATGAAGATGATAGACTCTTAAACCTAAGTGTAGAGTATGACCCGACTCCTAAACCTAAGTGTAGAGTATGACCCTCTGCAAGCACTGTAAAAGACTAAGGCACTTGATGGACACATGTAAGAAAAAAGAGGGGAGAAGAAAGGGAGAAGAAGAATTGAAAAGAAAAGATAGTAAAGAAGAAGAGGAAATCCCACATGAGATTGAGGGTAACAATCCTAAAGTTATCACTGACTCTCAGGAAGGAACAAGCACTTCAAAAGCAATCCAGATTAGTGAAGATGAAGAGTTCCAAAATATTAACAAGAAGAAGTGTGCCAAAAAGGGAGCTTCAAAGTTAAGAAAGGAAACCAATACACGAAGTTAAGGGAAAAATGTATTTTAATTAATAAAGAATTGCTTGATGCCTCATATGAGGGGAATCGACCTTTCTTGAAATGATTGGCTCCTAGAACATTAGGGGACTCAACACCCCCCCTAAAACAAAGTGAGGTGTTGAATGTGATAAATAAGTATAACCTTAGGATCATGGGTATTCATGTAACTAAGGTTAGAAAAGATAATATCAATGATGTGGCAAAAAGTCTAAGAAGAGATTGGGATTGGTTTGTTAGTATTGACATGCACTATCTGGGGAGGATCTGGATTATGTGGGATCCAAAAAGGAGTTAAGTTGGAGCCCAGAAGTCGCTCAGCCCAACTGGTCTACTATTTTGTCAAACTGTTAGAAGAAAATATTGAATGCTATATTACTTTTGTGTATGGATTCAATGAGAAGAATCAAAGAACTGAGTTATGGAGAGATCTCACCAACATTGTAGCTACTATGAGTGAAGCTTGGTGTGTGTTGGGTGATTTCAATGCTATAATCAAAGCTAAAGAGAGAAGAGGGGGTGTCCTGTGATAGGGGAAGAAACAACTAATTTCAAAGATTATCTAGAGAAATGTAACTTAGAAGAGATGCCTTTCTCAGAGCCTTTCTTCACATGGAATAATAAACAAAAAGGCAAAGATAGAATATACTCTAAGCTTGACAAAGTAGTGGCTAATGTGAATTGAATTATCAAGATGGGCACCAAAACTCAGGTCATCTCAAAGGGGATCTCTGACCACTATCCTCTTATCCAAAGTAAAATGACAAATCAAATCTCCCCCAAAGCACTTTCAATACTGTGATATGTAGGCTGAGTATAGGCATTTATGGCTATTTTAAGTGAAGTCTGGAATGATGTAATTTGATGAAGATAGATGTATCAGCTGGTGAGAAAGTTAAAAATGCTGAAAACCCCTCTTAAACAACTTCATAAAAATAAGCTTCATCATTTAAAGGAAATATGTGATCTGATCAGCTTAAAGAGAACCTGATGAACATCCAAGATAGAATCACTAAAAGGGATAACTCTAAAGATACATCCAGAAAAGAAAGAGAAGCTAACAGGGAGTTTGCCTCATGCTCCAGAGCCCTCTTCCTACTGAATAAGCAACAAATTAAATCAATGGGTTACTGAGGGAGATCAAATCACCAAATTTTACCATGCTTGGCTTAATAAAAGAAGAATCCTAAGTTTTATTATAGGTATCCAAGATAATATGGGGACTGCTCACAATACTAAAGAAGTTACTGAGATCATGGAGGGATACTTTAGTAATATATTGGGTACCCCTTTTAATAGTAACAACATCAATGTGGATATTGTCAAGTATGGTAATCTCCTAAGCATTGATCAACAAGTGGGAGTGGGACTGATGCAACCTTTTGATCCAAAGATGATTAAAAAGATGATATTCAGCATTCCAAATCACAAATGCCAAGGTCCATATAAGTACTCCAGTGGCTTCTTCAAGAAAAGTTGGGATAGATATTGTGAGGGACTTGGTAATTGAAGTAGTGATGGAGTTTTCTAAAGAAGGGGTTACACTAGAACAAATTAATGCAACCTTAATGCAACCTGCCTTACTCTCTTTCCTAAAATTGAAGAGCCCAAAACACTTAATGACTTCAGGCCCTTAGCATGTTGCAATGTGGTTTATAAAGTCCTTTCCAAAATAATTGCTTAAAGACTGAAAGAGATTCTCCCTAACATTGTATCTAGAAATCAAACAACTTTCATTAAGGGAAGGGAACTCCTCCACAACGTTCTACTATGTTAGAAAATTACCAAGGATACAATATGAAAGGAAACTCTCTCATATGTATCTTTAAACTTGATTTGAAGAAGACCTATGACTCTATTTCATGGAACTTTATTATTGATCTCATGCATAAGCTTAAATTCCCAAGTAAGTTTCTCAAGTGGATCCATTTTTGTATCTCTACTCCTACATTTACATTGAAGATAAATGGACGGATGGCTAGCTATTTTAGGGGAGGGAAAGGACTTAGGCAGGGGTCCTATCTCTCCCTTCCTGTTTGTGTTGGAGGAAGATTATATCAAATTTGGGAACATTAAAGAAGAAAGTGGGATCAGTCTAAGGGATTTATGTTTATGGACGTTACAATGCAGAGCCCGAGACGAGTGGATTGGAGTCGTTTCAGATTCAGCACGAGGTTCAAAGGCGGCTCATCAATAGTTTCTCAGTGACGCGTCACTAAGAAACTAGGGGACTTGTGATGGATATCAGGTCAATCGCTGGACTAGGAAGGCCGAAAGAGTCCCACTACTGTGGCCGAAGGACAGTAAGGGGGCTCTACGCCCACGAGTAAAGTGTGTTGGGCTGAACGCTATGAGCAAGTGGCAGACTTAGCCCAACCCACTAATCAGATTGCACGATACGGGAAAGGCAATCCCACTGGTCGTGAGTCACTGACGGCTGATTCCTCGCGCACGATTGATGCACGATTAGCCAATAAGTCCGAAATTGTAGCACAAGAATTACATACTAAATATAAGATGATGTTAGACTATAAATAGGAGGCATTTTCCTCCATTGTAAACCAAGCCGAAGTAAGCTAATACAATAGTGCAAGGGCTAGATTCCAATCTTTATCGTTGTCATTTACGTATAAGTTCTTCGTACCACCATAGTTGTTGGGCTAAATCACATCAAGTTATTATGTCGAACACTGAGTAATCAATAGCCCGATTGATTTGTGATAGTGCTAATTGATCATCACCATGAATTCTTAGTTAATCAATCCCACCATGAATTCTTAGTTTAGTAAACTTCTAAATATTACTCCCTCCATTCTAAAAAAGAGTTCTTATTTTGACCAAGTGTAAAAATAAGAAAGTGTTAAATTGTAGTTGACTTCTAATTTTGTCCTTGATGTGATAGGTAAAAGTAAGATGTAATGGATAAATTATTAGAGAAAAAGTATGATGTGATAGGTAGGGTAAGAAAAAGTAAGGATAAAAGTGGTTTTTTAATAGAAAGTGGAAATATTTTGTTGGAAGTGGAAAAAATGAAAGAGGAAGTGTTTTTGAGAACGGAAGGAGTATGAGTACAGTATTCAAATAAGTAGACGTTAAGGTCTCCCAAAAACTGAAATCAAGATTCCTATAAAGTTTAGGTCCTATCTAAACAATTTTATAAATTTATGACAAGTTTGTAGTCTTATTCCAAGATGGAGGGAGAAGTTTTATATTTTACACGGTTGAATTTCTCCAACTAGAGCCGGCCCGTGGGGGGATGGGCAGCCTGATCGGACCAGGCCCATGATTTATTGGGCCCAAATGTTGTTTATATATTACTCCCTCCATTCCAATTGAAATTGCTTGTTTTCCTTTTTGGTCCGTCCCAAAATAGTTGTCTGTTTTCTCTTTTGGCAAGGTTTTATTTATGAAATACTCCCTCCGTCCTAAAATTAACTTCCCATTTGACTTTTTACGGTCTGCAATGCGACACTTTTACTATCAGAATCTCAATTTTTATATAAATATATTTTATAAACATTATATATATCAAAACTATATTCCAAAATGAGTCTATTGTTAATAAATTTATATAAAAATTCAATGTATTTTTTGCGTAATATACGATCAGAGTTGAAAACGTTTCACTGCAAAAATCAAACTAAGAAGTTAATTTTAGCACGGAGGGAGTACCTCTACTTTATTTACTCCCTCCCCACCTTATTATTCATTACCCCATTCCTTCAATCCTTTCTCTCCACCAAGTCTGTCACTCCCCCCCTCCCCCCCTCTACCATCCATTTCAAACTCTACCACTCCCAATCTTCTTAAATTGTTGAGTAAATTCCATAATTGACAATTTATAACAGGAAGTTTTCCTATTTAGTCCTCTATTATCAAATATTACCACAGTAGTCCTTCTTTTATGGATATCTTTCCGCAAATAGTCCTTTTTTTGATCTTCTATCTTGTTAATGTTAATTTGAGGGCTAAAAATGCAATTTCACAATGCTACTCCCTCCGTCCCAAATTATTTGTCACATTTCTATTACCGAGACAAAATATCAAGTTTTTTTCAATTCATTTTATTTACATATTGGTAAAGAAATAAAAAAATAAAAATTACATATCAAAAACTACATGAAAAGTTCTTCAAAATAAGAGGCGTCAAGAATATTTTATTTTATCAAATAACCAATGAAAACGTAGAAATAAACAAAAATTCCCGCGACTGTTGAAAAAGCAAATGTGGCGAATAATTTGGGACGGAGGGAGTAATATATATCTTTATTGTCATACACAATTCCAAAGGCTGTTCTGTTTGCGTCGTTTGTGAATTACAATCGCTTTCTACTACAATCATAGTCTACAAATGTGGTCTTTCATCAGAATCTTAGCTCATAATCATAGTCATTATTTTTGTGTTATCCGCTTAACCAATATCAGAACATGTTACTAGACATAATGTTGATATCAAATTATACTTTTAGCCTTTAAATTAACACCAACATGGTAGAAGATAAAAAAAAAGACCATTTATGAAAAGACACTCTTAAAAAAGGACAACGAGGGTAATATTTGATAATAAAGGACTAAATATGGAAACCCCCATATTATAAAGGACCAATTATCTCAGTTGTTTTAAACCTCTTCTTTGATCCCAAAATGTCTTGTGCATTGTGTTTACGAATCTACAAATTCAGATGGGATGGACGCAGATAAGGGGCTGATCCCTACGAATCTAGGGTTTTCCAATTAGTGTTCTTCTCCGATCTCAGGCAAGTTCTTCGAATGAGTATTCAATAGCTTCTCTCTTGGTCTTTTTTTTATATCCTTTTTGGATCTACGGTTTTCACACTATCTAAGGTAAGTTTATATGGTTTCTCTAACAAATATTTTTCCTATTTTCGTATGTTGATTCTTGGTTTCTATATTTTTCATTTTCCAGATTTAGAAGAATTATATGATGAAATTTCAGATCTTGTGTTCATGTTGAATCTTGAAGAACAAATTTTGGATCTTCAATGTTGCACTGTTGTTGCTGCCTCAGGAGTGTTTCTAAAGCTACTGCATTCTTTTTGCTTTCTTTTTTTATTTTCAATGGAGTATTTTTTACAGAATTTTTGTGTGTGTAAGAATTGAAATTTTGAGTGTGTTTCCTGTGTTGTAATTTAGAGAGTGTATGTGACTTATTTGTTTGATTATTTATGTGATTTATGTATGTTGTGCATATGAGATAGGGGTGAGGATTGTAGACTCATACAATTCATTTACTCCGTAATAAAGTGAAGGGCAATTTGGGAAGGTCAATGCTATTTTTCCTTCTTTAATTATTGCCCAAAGTAAAAACGAGCAATATAAAATGGGACAGAGAGAGTACTTCTTGATTGTATATATATGTAATTGTTGGGCTTAATAATAATTGTTAATTGTATTTTAGAATGGTTGGGCATAATAAAACGAGCAATATAAAACAAACGTTTTTCAGTTTGGGCTTAATTATAATTGCTGATTGTAGTTCTTACATATGCATATGAAAGTATCATAACTTTGACTGAAAAGTTCTTGTTTTTTTGCTATGTGGAAATGTTATATTCAATTGCCCTTTTAACATGAACTTACAAAAAGACCGACACCAACATGACATTTCTTAAATTATTGAATGAAAAAAATTGTGAAAAACGTGTTGTTGGTCATGAAATATGTATTCTCGTGAGTAGATATTTTTTAAGTTTTTATAACTGACAGTGAAGCCACATAAATTATGTTATAAAGTTGAGATGTTGCATTTCTTTCACAGAGAATGTGTTATAGAAAGCACACTGGTAATGATGAGTACATGTAAACTAAATCTGGACTGTGTGCTCGGTAGCTTTATTTTTCCTTATTCGTTTATTTGTATTGTTAAATATTACTCGTACTAATATTTTTTTTGTGTGTTTCCGTTGACTTGTGGTTTTTGACTTTTGATTTAGGAAAAAAGGGTACTCTTACGTTTAAGACTCAGTGGGTCACCCGAGCAGAGTGAGCATGTGCTTAGGGGTCAACAACAAACTCATAGGTGCACATATAGAATTATAGATACATGCATGCATGCATAGATACATACATACATAAATGCATGCATACACACACACATACATACATACATACATGCAAATGTAATGGTCTCATTAACTAAAATACGTTCGACCAAGAAATGGTAGACGACTGGCTAGCCATACAACTTCAAAGGGGCAAATTAATTGATTGGAGAGCTAAGGCCTTCTTGAGAAGACAATGAGTTGACAGTGTGGTGTCGCTTGGACGCAAAAGAAGGCGTTTTCCTAAAAGACGGTCTTTTGCTGATACGATGCAGAGTCGTCTTGGTGTGGAGATAGTGCACGTATGGCAATGCTCTCTCCTTCAACTTCAATACCATGAAGAATAGTAGTCTGTAACTGATGAGAATGGCTATGACTACTCCTAAATCCCACCACTTCGAGTGCGCCACTGATAAGCCAAGAACTCCTGTGATGATTACTTCTCCCGTGAGCTTCGATTCCCCAGGGTTAATGGCATCGAATTCCAAGCCTAGCATGTCGTTCTTGTACGCTCCCTACATTTATTTTTGAAAATGCATAGAAATTGTTAGCTGTATACTCCCTCCATTCAAATTACATTATTGGAGGTTGATGAGAAATTGATGGTCGAATTGATTTTGTCAGTTGCGTTAAGTGGTGAGGGAAGAGGACTCGCCTGCAAAGCCCATGACATGTAATTGACATATGAAACGGGATATCTCCAAAATACCCTTGGAAGATCAGGCATTAGCCGAAAAAACCCAGCAGAAGCCATCATAAGTCCCTGCAGGTAATTGCACCATAAAAATACCCAGGAATAAGATTGTTAAAAAGATAAGGAAAGCAATGGAATAGTACAAAGAATGTATAAAATAATTTGATTACAATGAGACCAGCTCCAGTGATGAGTCCCATAGTGAAATTAGGAACAAAAGAAGCCACAACCATCATGCAGCTCTCCACAACTGCTATGGAGCTTAGAAGCACAAGGGTGGCGTATACGAAATGGAAGAAGCCCGGGTGAAACTTTGCCAGATTGTATGTGATGGCTGCTGAGCTAAATGACATTATGGCAAGGAATGGGAGAGAAGATACGAAGTTTGAGAGAATAAACAATCCAACTCCATAATGCCCATTTCTCCTCTCTTTATAAAATATCTGTCAAAAGGAATCATCAAAAAAAGTTTTAAACCTTAACTAGCTAGCAAGTTGCAAAATAGATCATCATTGCAAGAATTACACAGTTTTTTTTACCTTCATTTCTTCAATGAATGATGGGAAGCCACCAATGGACATGAAACTCATGAACCCAGCAATGAATCCCCCGCAAGCCCCCCTTGCAAGAATTGCACTATGGTCGGTCCCAACGTTATAGAACACGGTGCCAACGCAAGTGGATACGATGATATACACAATTATTCTTAACCAATAATATCCAAAGTCTCTTGACATGTTTTTAAATGACCTTTGAGTCAATGTCACAAGCTGCATCCACCATCTTGCTTGGCTTCCTCCCAATTCCTCTATTCCACCTCCTTTCTGTTATACACACACATTTAAATTTCTAGAAGCATGAAATGCATATATCTCATAAAATGGGTCATAAACTAAGACAATAAGATGAAGCTACTTAGATATGGACTTGCCATTGATGATATCTCTTGAGCCCTAGCTCTAGTGCGGCTTGCATACTTTGAATTTTTGAATTCGCGAAGCAGCCTTGCCCTGATCTCCGACGTGGGCAAATATATAGCGGAACCTGAAGATTCTCTTGGATCCTAGCATATTTATTTTATATCGTTAGAAGCACATTATAATTAGATAGATGTTACCATGTACTATATGTTCGTTTTTGAATGCACAAGAAAGAATCACATGTTAAGTCCTACTTTTATCCTCTGAGACCCTATAAGCGTTTCAGTGACAATATCGAAGTCGGAATTGATGCAACGAAGAAAATGATCAGAAGGGCTCCTTCTGCTTGGGCATGGAGATCCGGAATCCGTAAAGAACTGCAAACACCAAACCAGCTAATTAATTTATAAGTAATGATTGATTTCAGTACCTCAACACCAGATTAATCTGGTACTTTAAAACTAATGCCGATAAATTATAGTAAAACCTTTCGTGGCTCATCAAATACAAACTTAAACTTTTGATCTATTTGGTGTCTTGACAGTTATGCTAATAAGTAGTAAATTGTACCTCAACGGCGGATCCTGCTTCTCCAAAGTAAATGGTCTCCCCAGAGGACAAGAGGCAAAGATCATCAAAGAGGGCAAAAACCTCACTGCTAGGCTGGTGAATGGAGCAGACAATAGTTTTACCACAGGACGCGGCGTTCTTGAGGACCTGCACGGCAAAAAACGCTGCGGCACTGTCTAAGCCACTGGTGGGCTCGTCCAGGAACAACATGCGCGGCTCTGTTAGCATTTCCAAGGCAATGCTCAATCTCTTCTTCTCCCCGCCGCTAAGTCCTCTCAAGTGCCAATTTCCTATAAGGTGATCACCGCATTCCTCAAGACCCATTTCCGTTATCACATTCTCTACTACTTCTGCTACCTCTGTTCGTGTAAGGCTGCTGGGTAACCTCAGCTGTGCCGAATACGTTATTGTTTCTCTCACGGTAAGAGTTCCCATCAACAAATCTTCTTGTGTTACGTATGCCTGCAGCCAGATTTTTAAATTTCATGCAGCCATATTTTTTAAATAGTAAGGTAATAAATATATGAGGACGTTGCCATTCTTAGACTTACAACTGCACCATTGTTAAGCCTTGATTTGCTTCCATTAAGAAAGATATCACCAGTCAGGATAAGATTGCCAGAAAGTCTGCCTGCAAACATGACAAGGTTACTGTTGGCAGTACTCACCCAGGCACGCATAAATATTGGGAAAAAAATGCATGTTTGTGTGAACAAGCTGAGTTTGGGTGGAGAGTGTAACAAGAATCATAGATTTCCTCTGTCCTACATAAGTTTCCCATTTCTTTTTTCATATACATGTACCAAACTAATTTTTCCACTTGTTTTTTTTTCCTTTGTTGAAAGAAATATGCGAATTAAAATACTTCTCTTCTTTACAAATTTTATTTGTTCATTTTTTACTTTTCAACTTCTTTTCAACATCTTTTCATCACTTTTCTTGCTCCTCATGAAATCAAAATGGAAAAGCTATTTTGGGACTGGAAAGAAAATTATTACCAAACTAGGAGAAGCTCAGATTTTTCTTCTCCTTGAATCTTGTGGGGTGGACATCCTACCACTAGAGCCAAGTGAGAAGCTCAGATTTTTCTATTTTAAACTTAAAAGTGTGTGATACTTTAGAAACCTCTTAAATATAAATAATGGAATACCTAATCAAAAGGCTGATGAACAAAGAAGAAAAAGAAACACAAGAAAATCAATTGATGAAAAGGATGGAGATGAGTATATATATAGTAGAGGTACCTGCCAAAGAATCAAGAAGAGTGGACTTGCCAGAGCCAGAAGGACCCATGATAGCCAGTACTCTACCAGGTTGAGCATAACCTGTTATGGCATTAAGCAACCTTTTCGTTGGCCCGTCTCCGAAATTCGGAATCACCACAGTCAGGCCTTTCCAAGCCAAATATTCACTACCCATACACTTCTCCTCATCTTCTCCAATTCCATTATTGCCCTTTGACACATGAGTACTATTCCTCCCAATTTCAAGGTCCAATGTATCACAGCTCTTGCCTCCATCCTCTGCTCCTTCTATCTCCATCCTATATTTTGTAGTTTTTTGTTTTGTTTAGCTTATTAATAATGTAATGAAGAAAACTAGTCTGTCATTCTCTCTATGCATTTAAGTAATGAGCATGTTCTTACAAAAGATTTCAGGGCTCCCATCTTCTTGTACTATATATGTACGTACCAAGTGAGTGAAAGTAATAATTATTGATGGAAGCAGACGGGTAGAGTTACTGTCACAACCAAACACGCCTTTAATGCTGGTGTAAACTCATCTATGACTTTTTATGTGTATTGATCCATCATGGAATATGTTTTTGGAATATGACTTCTCGTAAGTTCTATAGGCAGCGCCCATTCTTGTCTTTCACACATTGCCATGAAAAAAATAGATCACTTCGTCTCCAATATGAACATTTTTTTTTTTGCATTTTGTGACGGGAAATGTGGAAAAAGAATAAAGCATGAGTAAAAACATTGAAAAATATATCAAATTAGAAATCATATATTTTATCTCAAAAGAGAAGTAAAAATGTATATACATTGTCAATTATGATCATACATATATTATCAAAAAGTATTGTGAAATGTTCATATACAGTGTAACATTATCACGATGCAAACTTCTATTTTGGAGATAAAAGCATGGAGCTCATATTTTTATACTTTGTCTATGTTTACTTTTATTTAGGGTGATTTCTTTTTATGATAGTGCAACATTTTGACTATTACTTCCCCTCTCTCATAAAAAAAGTTTCACTTTTAACTTGACGTACAAAAGTTAAAAATTAAATAAAATTAAATAATTAAAAGTGATGTAGATAAGTGAAAAATTTGAAGGGCTGCAAAAATGGAAAGTAGAAGGGTATTTACGCAACTAGGACTTAAACTTATCATTTTTCCCTAAATACGACTAGTCATATCTACTTTAACGTTTGGTAATGGAAAGTTCTAAAATGCTCACCCTTTAAGAAAAAATGATTTATTACACAATTCAAATAGAATGAGACATTATTAGAAATAATTTGAATAGTCATTGAAATAATAAGTCATTATCCAACAGTTGTTACTAATGACCACATTCGTAAAATCATTCGTATAATCAGTGATTATCCAATACTTGTTGTTAATGAGGGTAGATTTGACAGATCATATGAAATTATGTTATAAAGGAAATAATACATATTTGATCATTTTCAGGGAAAGATATTACTTTTTAATCCTATATGGAGCAAATTCTTCAAAGTAGAACCTTTTATTTAGACCGGAGGAAAAGAAAATAATGTAAAATATTTTATGAGACAATGACAATAATATCTAAAGGAGTGAGGGTGGCCGAACCAAGCACCAGAGAAATATGAAAGGGTGACCAAATTTATATTTTCAGTCAAAATTTTAATGATATTGAAAAATTATCTTACTTTTTTCAAAAACTTAAGCATTTTTAAATTCCTTATATTGATTTATATATCTAAAAATTACTTCAGAGTTTAAAATAAAATAATTTTATAGATTTTAATACATTTTTTTATATTTTAATTTTATTTAATAGAAAATGTAAATGTTAATGTGAATTTAAAAATTTTAAAAACCAAAGTCATAACCCGTTGGGTCGACCCGAACCCGACGATAATGGGTCATGAACATACAATTTTCAACCCGAACCCGAATTGACCCAAACCCGAAATAACCTGAACTTGAAGTGATTGAACCCGAACCTGACCTGACCGACCGATTTGCCACCTTTAATTCCTTTGTTACTCCATAAATAAAAAGTGACTTCATTACGTGTTTTTTGCCTAATTACTTTCAAATTGAAAAATGATTGCAATTTAGACCTCAAAAATTTTCTGAAAACTTTAATGTTTTGGACTCTGAATCCGTCTCATTAATAAATAAATTAATTCTGATAACTCAAACTCTAAAGGTTAGAGATTTCCACCTGCATTGATTGGGAAGGGTCTTCAAGGAATTTTGTTTTTTTTGTTGAGGAAGGCCTTGTTCCGTTCAACTTATTTTTTATGATTTGGTCTAATTTTTTGTAGTTCTGATCTGATTGGATCTGATTGGATATGATCTAATCTGATCTGGTCTGATCTGATTGGATCTGATCTGGTCTGATCTGATTAATTATGATTGGGAGAAAGACCAAAGTAGGATTAAAACATTGAAAATATACCAAAATAAGACTTCCATGTTTTTATTCTTGAAATAGGACTTACATTACCAAAAATGGTCATACCACATTACCACAGTGTAAAGTCATATTTTGGAAAAAAACATAAAAATCCCATTTTGATACTTTTTTCTATGTTTTAGTCTTATTTAGGGTGATTTCCAATTATGATTTGATTTAAAATTCAAATCAATAATTTGGATTGACTTTATAATAACTTTTGAAAATTGTAATGATAATTCATATTATAATATAATCAATATATTTTATTTTATGATTATTTTTAATGAAATAAAATTAGTTAATTCATATATTAGGATAATCATTTATATTATAATGTAATAATATTTTTAATTTTATGATTATTTTTTATGAAATAAGAATATTGATTTAATATTTTAATAATTAGTTCATATATACATTAGAATAAATAGTTAATTCATATATACATTAAAAAATAATTAAATTTAGATAATCAATATAAAAAAGAGATAGTATTTTTATTAAAATATCTCATCCTTATAAAATATCAACGCGTGCTTTGTACTACGAAACTTTTTTTGATTAATATAACACCATAGATATAATAGTTATTTCAGTTACACTAAAATATACTCCGTATCAAAGTTGATCAACTCGATGTAGTAAAAGATCAAAACTTTAGAAACTCAAATTACAGATAACAATAAGAACATATTTTAAAAGTAGAATTAGATTGACATTGTCAATGTATTTTAAAAATAATTATTCCGACGTCTAATAATTAAGGATTACTTTCTCAGTTTTCTATTTAACTTGTTTCTAAATTTTATTCTTTTTTATTTTTAATAATAATAATAGTAGTAGTAGTAATAATAATAATAATAATAGTAATAATAATAATTCTTGATTGGATCTGATCTGATGAGATCTGATATGATATGATCTGATTCGATCTGATTTGAACTGATCTTATTTTAATAAGATTAGGAAAAAGCATAAAAAATAAGTTAGAACGGAATGGGCCGAAGTCTAGGATACTCCGTAATCCGTGTAATGCAGACCCGATCACGGGCCCGGGTATCCGGCCCGCCCGGGCTTGACATTTTTGGGTACGGGCCGTGCTTGGGCCTTATAAATGGCGGCCCGAATATTTTAGGGCCAGGCTCGGGTTTATGTTCAAGCCCACGGGCCGGCCCGGCCCGAATAAATTAAATATTTATTATTAATATAATTATAATAAAATAACAATAACAGCATTAATAATAATAATAAAGAACAAACTTATTTCAAATTATTATAAACACACATACATACTTCTATGGAGAGAAAAAATAAACTATAGGTATATATAATAAAATGAATACATCATTACTACTCCCTATTGTTTGTAATATATCACACATTGATTATGACATTTCAATAGATAATATTTTGTACACCATACATAATAGCAATATCAAACAAAATATATTTATATATCAATTTTTCTTTCATTTACTCATAATAGTTTTTATATCAAATATCTAATATATTAACTTGTTACTTTTTTTAAAAAAATTATTTTTAAATTATTTAGAAATTTTTGTCGGTCGGGCCGGGCCGGGTAACCATGTGGGCCGGGCTTGGGCTTCAATTGTTAGGCCCATTATACGGGCCGGACCGGGCTCGGACCTAGAAAATTTTCGTAAAGTAGTTTCTCGGCCCGGCCCGGCCCGCACTTTGATCATGTCTAGTGTAATGTATTGAACTAAAATGGATGATTTTGATCGGGAAGGATCGTCAAAGATATAATTTATTGAATTAAAATGGATGATTGTTGACCTAGATTGACTCCAAAGCAAAGTGTTCCTTCTGACACTGTTCATGCAGCTCCTCGTTGTGTCTCCAGCTTCCCTGTGGCCGTTTTTTTTGCGATTTTTTGTGCTTTTGGATCGTCTTCAGCATGTCTATCTGATGTTGAGCTCGGTTTTGCTGAATTGGATCTTGATTTGGTGAATCGACGAAGAAGTCTCTCGAGTTTACTGTTCATCTCCTAAATTTGGATTCTCAATTCGTTGCCGTTCTTGCTAAATTAAAGGCCAATTTTGGGGGATAGTGAACGACCTGGAAACCCTCTCCTGATTCTGAAATTGGATTTCCATTCCAGCTGAAGAACTCAACAATTTGAGGCAAAATTGAAGCTCTTTGTTATTGTTCCCAGTGCGACACGTACGGTGCGATGACATGCTTCGATTAGATGACGCAAAGCTCACCACACTACAATACAAAGCTCACAAATGGACAACGCAAAGCTCACTTGGAAATAAAGCAAAGCTCACCACTTTGAACCCAAAAACTCACCTTTTTTTTTATTTTTAAAATTAAAAAATTAATTAAAAATAAAATAGCAACACTGGCCAACCACCGGTCAACGGTGGCCGCAGGCGGCTGCAGGCGACGGTCAATGCTGGAGTCAACGGTCAAAGTTTAGTCAGCACCCCTTCCTTTGATTTTATTTTTTCAAAAAATATTCAAAGTGTTGAAAAAAATATGATGAGCTTTGCCTTACAGTTTGGTGAGCTTTGTAGTTGTGCTTGGTGAGTTTTGCAGTGGGCAGTGGTGAGCTTTGCGTCATCTGACCGAAACATGTCATCGCACCATAAGGTGTCATCTCACTGGAGTCAATCCCATATATATATATATATATATATATATATATATATATATATATATATATATATATATATATATATATATATATATATATATATATATATATATATAATTTGGCCCTAGGTGACTTTTAGTCACCTTGAAACCTATTAATGAACGTTTGGTGAAAAAAATATGGCTCAATAACACCTGTACCACACGTGGTTTCAAAAGTAGGCACAAATACCTCTCTTATTTTAAAAATTTATTTCTAAAGTTCTTGTGTTTTTGAAAAATTTTACCACACCCCCTCTGGTCATTTTCCAACTTTTTTTCCGGTGAAGAAGGAGCATTAGTGCCTATTCTCCCAAATTATTAGGGATACTAGTGCTAATTTTTTATAACTTTTTTTCCTTTATTAATCATGTTTTTATTTTTT